GGTCAAGACGGCAGGTAGGTAACGCGGTATCGCCTCCTCCCACAACCACATCAAAGTTACAACTAAACTACAGAACAACCATCATTCAAAACCACCTGAAATCGTGCTCCTACAACTACGGAATTAAAGAGGAATTAAAGCAGCAGCCACTTCGAGACTGGTAGGAGGGGCAAAGGCAGAAGGTCTGGTCCCACACCCACGTGTGGCGGATAAAAATCAGCAGAACACCTCAGCCGGGAAGGTCCTCCCAGAGGATTGAGGGGTCCCCGTCGAGGGTTCCAGTGCCAGGAAGAGAGTCCCCATCACTTCTGGCTGGAAAATCCAGTGGGAACTGAGGCTCAGGGAGGCTGACGCGGCTGGAGCCCCAGGCAGCTCCTTAAAGGGCCCGCGCACGGACTTATCGGACTCTCTCCCTCTGAGCTTGGAGGGGAGGCAGCTCGAGGGGCGCCAGAGACACACAGGGAAGAACTGAGCTGTTTGGCACTGGAGCGAGGGCTGGAGAGGGGGCTTTCTCCGGGACAAACGTGCTGTCAGAGGCCTTTGTTCCTTTGGTGAGCCCTGCCCTGGGGCGGCAGACAGAAGCCATATCTGGGACTCCAGCAACCTGGCTCACACTGGTAGCCCCGCCCTGGTGACTCCCTGAGGCCCCGCCCCACCCCACCCAACTTTCAGGCCCACCCAAGCTGTTGCCAGTTGCTCTACCATAGGATTGGCCTATCTTGGATCCTGCTTCAGGTTTTCCTAAATTTTTTCAAACAAGCAGCATCTGGTCTCAGCTAGCCCCATATTTCTCATTAAGTAATACACTGAAACAAACACAGGGAGGCAGCCGAAATGAGGAGACAAAGAAACAGGTCCCAAATGAAAGAACAGAACAAAACTCCGAGAAAAGAACTAAGCGAAATGGAGATATAAGCAACCTAACAGATACTGAGTTCAAAAGACTGCTTATAAGGATGCTCAATGAACTTGGTGAGGGCCTAAAGAGCATAAAAAGGACCAGTCAGAAATGAAGGAAACACAGTCAGAAATGAAGGAGGCATTAACTGAAATAAAGAATAATTTACACAGATTCAATAGTACAGTAGGTAAAGCCAAGAAGCAAACCATCGATTTGGAAAATAAGGAAGCAAAAAACACCTAATCAGATCAGCAAAAAGAGAAAAGAATCCAAAAAAATGAGGATAGTGTAAGGAGCCTCTGGGACAACTTCAAGCGTGCCAACATTCACATCTTAGGGGTGCCAGAAGGAGAAGAGAGAGAACAAGAAATCAAAACCTCTTTGAAACTATAATGGCAGAAAACTTCCCTGACTTGGTGAAGGAAACAGACATACAAGTCCAGGAAACACAGAGAGTCCCAAACAAGATGAACCCCAAGAGGCCCACACCAAGACACATCATCATCAAAATGCAAAAGGTTCAAGACAAAGAGAGAATCTTAAAAGCAGCAAGAGAAAGGCATTTAGTTACCTACAAGGGAGTTCCCATAAGGCTGTCAGCTGATTTCTCAAAAGAAACTTTGCAGGCCAGAAGGGAGTGGCAAGAAATATTCAGAGTGATGAAAAGCAAGAACCTACAACCAAGATTACTCTATCCTGCAAAGCTGTCATTGAGAATCGATGGCCATATAAAGACTTTCCCAGACAAGAAAAAGCTAAAGGAGTTCATCACCACCAAACCGTTATTATATGAAATATTGAAGGGTCTTTTTGAAGAAAAAGATAAACTATATGAACAAACAAAATGGCAATGAATACATATCTATCAACAATGGAATCTACAAACAAAATGAACAGGCAGAACAGAAACAATCTCATAGATACAGAGAACATTTTGTTGGTTGCCAGATGGGAGGGAGGTTGGTGGGAATGGGTGAAAAAGGTGAAGGGATTAAGAAGAACAAATTGGTTGCTAGACTGACAAACCTCAAAGAGAAGGGGGTCAGGGGTGGGAGGAAATAAACCGAAGAAGTTATATGCATAACCAATGGACACAGACAACAGTGGGAAAAGGTGGGGGGTGGGGTGGGAGTGGGGAGGAGGGGGGTCAATGGGGGGAAAATGAGGAACATCTGTAATACATTCAACAATAAAGATAAAAAATTAATAATAAATAAACAAATAAATAAATTCTTATCACAAGAAAAAAAGAAGAAGAAGCCTCTTGTGTAAGGTTGCAGGGCTTTGTGCTGTCTCCTGTCCTTGTTAGACTTTTTTAGCAATGTTGTCAATAAAGGACATCATTAGAAAATCAATCCAATTTGAAGAAGATATGTACTGGTTCCTATGGGTTAGCGTGGGGAGGGGATCGTTAACGGGTTGAAGGCTGGAATGGAGAGAATTAATCTAACAAAATGGAATTTAACAGCCATGAGAAGTCCTTTACTCAGATCCAGAAAAACAAACTGTCCAAGATCTGGGTGGGGGAGAGATGGCTTAACAACATAACATGGGGAAAAAACAACAACAAACTACTCAAGGGTTTCCTTTGGCTGGAAGCTAAATATGAGTCAATGTCAAGTTGTGGCTACTTAACAAAGCAAAATAAAATCCTAAAGAAATCTTAGCCTGGAAAAACAGAATTGTACTAGCTAGGCCAAGGTGAAAGAACTCTTTTGTTTCACTAGTCAGCCCATAACTGAGAAATTGAGTACTATTCCAGGTATTACATCCTAGAGGGGCAGCATCAAACCATAGGGGTCCAGGAAGTGATAACCACTTTACATGTGTCATTACTTTACATCCCTACACCAACTCTCTGAGACAGTTATTGATGTGTTCCTGACACCTCAGCAGTATTCTTGTAACTCTTTCTTTTGAAGATCAAGAGAGGGAATGCATATGTTCCTCAAGGTAAACACACTATTTGATGCTGGATTCTGGTATTCAACTTGAAGGTTAATGATCAGCTTCACAGGGAAGGGCTCTTTGCTCCCAGGATCTACCACAGTGGTGGACCCTTTACTTTCTGTACTCAGACCAGAATCAGACTTGGGCAGGGCAGTAGGTGGACTTTAAGGGGGCTGCCAAATCCAGGAGCAGTGCCTAAATAACAGGCACCTACCTGCCTCTGCTACCAAGCTAAAGGGGTTCATTCACCTGCATGCATCAAAGCCCAATCCGACAAACAGGAGTTTGCAGCAAAGAAAGCGAAGGTTTATTTGAGAAAATAGCACCAAACCCAGAGTCACAGGTGAGCTGTTGCTCCAAGACCTGGCTCCCTGTGGCTTCTAAGGGCTGAGTTATATAGGGGACTAAGGGAGTTAGGCTGTGGTCTCCATTGACTGGTTGGAACTAGGGTAGAAAATAGTTGATCATTGAATCTGGTCCTGATATCAGCCATGGCATCGTTCTGTCTGGTTTTGCAAGGATCTGGTTGGTAGGATGGTTTTGCTTTCTAGGCCTGAGCAGAAACACAAGATGTTATCTTTTGTTTGCCCAAACCTCTGTCTCTGCGGTCAGCAGACTCAAGGCTTTGTTCCTTAGATTATTTGATGCTGACCAGAACCTCATTGTCCCGAGGGCTTGATGATTAAGGGAATAGACCTGCAAGGGAGAGGGAGTAGGTGGGTCAGGGTGCTCCTAGGCTGGACAAGGTCAATTTGAATCCAAAGGAAAGAAGGAGAAAAGGTCAAATTAAAAACATGAAGTTTCTGTGCGGTTACACCTCCTTCCACCTCAGCTCTTGCTGGCTTGTAGGCAGAACAAGAATGTCAGGGCTCTCCATGTCGTCATGTCGCTCCCATCCCAAGCGTAATGGTATAACTCCTCCCGGGTGCCGCCCTGCTTCACAAAGGTCCTGCCCGCTGCTTCATCAGAGGAGACTTACTCCCACTTATCTATCTGGAGGTTTCGTTTATAAACAAGAACTTGAAGATCAAATTCAAGAAATTATTTTGAAAATACTAAGGAAAATATTTGCATTTCAATCAGCCACTCCTGTGCCTCCATAGAAAATATAAATCCTGCTCTCTGGTGTCTAGGACTTCCCAGATACAGGCCAAATCTGTCCTCCAGACTTTGTCTTCCACTGCATCCCTACATGGGTCCGTTGTTTCATCCCTAATATCAAACTGTCATTCCTTTTCCTGTTGTTTTCTGTACTTGAAAGATTTCTTTCTCTATCTTTCAAAATCATACTCAGCATTTCAAATTTCTTTTATTTTTTATTTTTTATTTTTTTACAGATAGAGTGGGAGGGAGAGAGAGAAAGGGAGAGAGAGAGAGAAACATCGACGTGAAGGGACACATCGAGTGGCTGCCACCCGCACAACCGACCAGGGCCGGGGACAAACTGCAACCGAAGCACGTGCCCTCAGCGGGAACCGAACCCTGGTCTCTCCGGACCGCAGGTCGATGCTCCAACCGCTGAGCCAAACTGGCCAGGGCCAAATTTCTTTTAAGTATCACCTCCCTCATGAAACCTTTTTTGACCAGCAATCCCACACCATGGATGAGATTTTTCTTCATTGAGCTCCGTAGCACATGGCCAAGATTTTTGTATAGCCACTTATATTACTACTTCTCAGTCTCCGAGACCAGCTCACATATTGTGGCATTCAAATGTAACATATTTTGTCCCCTAGGTTTATAAAAACAAAATACCTAATGGTTTCATGTTGCATAATGACTCATTGTAACACATTTTCTAAATGGAAAAAACAACTCAAGGAAATAGAAGACAGTGACACCACTTTGCCTTCAGCCCTTGTGCAACTTGTTATTTTAACCATCTATAATTGGTAGTGTATAATGAGGAAACAGCTCTATTTCTCTTCTGGCTTTGCCTTCAAAAACCATTGGCTCCCCTGTCCCTTGGAGATGTTGTGGGCAGATCCAGTGACTCTCCATTCACTCTTAGGTGTTAAAAGAGTCTAGTTTTTTAGGTATTGAAAGGTACATCTAGCTAAAATCTTCAAATTGGCGTCCATTTCAAAGTGTTACCCTCCCCTCAGCTCAGAACTGATTTTTGCCCTTTGCTTTCTCCTCCCCCAGTTTGTCCTGGCAAGGACACCTGGAGTCACTCCCAATAAACCGCTGGAATCTCTCTTAAACTTTGGAAAAAATGATATCTACAGTAAATGAGGTGGAGATGCTGGAAATTCCTTGGCGGAGGAACAGGTCAAAGGCTCAGAAAGGTGAGCGTGTTAGAACTGACTGATGGTACACCAGAGAACCACTGCATGGCTGTGTTCCTCAGGAGACACAGAGGACACTGTCTTCACGAAAGCAGGAAGGAACGCTTGGTGGGGGAGACAGCATCTTGACAAGCCCAGTGTTGTCTGTCCTCTATAGGCCAAGGCTGACATTTGGAAACACATCTGGGAAACTGGGCTCCCTGCTGTCAGTGGAGATAGATGATAAGACTCTGGAACAGCAGAAGCAAGTTGCCAGCATGTAACTATCAGAGCAAAGGTAAGATTAGTGGCATTAATTGGCTGCATTCATTGCCACAATAAGCCTCTAGGAAGACAGGGTGATGCAATTATCTGAGTAAATAACAAGGCCAGACTGACAACCAGGGGGCCTTGACCCTCAAGAATCTTTGGCAAAGACTAATAAACCATGGTATCCTAGAAGCAAGATACGTGGGCAGGCAAATGAGGGTATTTATTGATTGGCTTATATTTTAAAAACATCCTGAGTGGGTCAGCACCACAATGAACATCACTCTTGTCTAGCTTCAAGAGTCGAGGTGGTTTCCAGATTCAGAACCCAATGATTGAATGGCTGTGTCCCCTTGAGTAAGGTCCCTGAAACACAATAGCAAGTAGTTATAAGTAGCTATTAACGATTCTTCCTCAAAGGGACCTAACAGACATTTACCAGATTAACTATACACCGGGTAAAGAAAATATTTGAGTATTTTGAGGGCTGTGGATAAGCTGACTCAAAATACCATCAGCCTCTTTACTAGACCGGGGACGGTTAGAGGCCAAGTGAGAGATGGAGTCCTAGCCCAAGTCAGGGCTGCGGGATACTTAGAAACCGGAAGAACTTCCCATTGCGTCTCTGTGCATCGATCCTTCATGATTGGAAAGACTAAGAGGAAGCCCTTAGAAGTTCCCCCTGATCCTCAACCCTGAGCGAAGATAGTAAACTCAAAAAACAAAACATCTTGCAGTGATTTGCGTCACCCTCAACCACTGGAAGGAAGCAGGAGTGATGCTTTTCGTGCTGACCCCCTCAGCTGACCCATTCACTCGACCAGTTTGATCCTTGCTTAATGAAATAGATCGTGGATGATGACAATGGACCTGATGACCCGAACATTCTGGTCACTGGTGCACTAGACTGATGACACCATGCCAGTTGGACCTGCTGGCAGAAAGTGATTAGAGCTTTGAATGCTCAGGTAAGAGATGTATGTATATACCTCAAGTGACAGGGAATAAGCCCTGCAAAGAGTCAGGGACCTGACACATCGGTAGCATTTTTAGAGGTATAATGGCTTAGACCAGAGGCTGGCAAACTATGGCCTGAGGACCGGATCTGGCCCCCTGCCCTTTTTTTTTTTTTTAAATCCTCACCCAAGGATATTTTTCCATTTCTTTCAGACAAAGAGTGGGAAGGGGGGAGAGGGAGAGAAAGAGAGAGAGAGAGAGAGAGAGAGAGAGATCGATGTGAGAGAGACATATAGATTGGTTGCCTCCTGCACGACCCCGACAAGGGCCAGGAACTGAACTACAACCAAGGTACGTGCCCTTGACTGGAACTGAACCCAAGACTCTTCGGTCCTTGGGCTGATGCTCTAACTGCTGAGCCAAACCAGCCAGGGCTGCCTTTTTTTTTTTTAATGGTCCTAAAGCTAAGAACAGTTTTACATTTTGAAATAGTTGGGGAAAAAAGTCAAAAGAGGAATAATACTTTGTTGCACGTGAAAAATATTTGGAATTAAACGTTATTTCTATCTATAAATAAAGTTTTATCACAACAGCCATATTCGTTCCTTTTCGTATTGTCTATCGCTGTATTCGAGGGTTAACAGTAGACTCACAAAGTTGCAACAGAGACCAAATGTGGAACTCCCATCCCTTCATACTGCTGCTCAGTAAGGCCTGATGCGCTCAGAACGTGCCAAGCATAGTTTTGTACCATGATATTTTATGACATTTGTTTTGTTTTATTTTATTGTAAATTACCAGTGCATATCCTTTATGTCAGAACAAGAAAAGGCGACTTCAAATCTTGCAGTAGTGTGGTTATTTTGTTATGGAATTATATCTATTATGTAATGACACGACGACTGGGTTAAAATAACACCAAGTATGTCAACATTCGCAGATTAAGCACACCTCACAATAGTCCAAACTCACAGGAAAGCAACAGTTAAAAAAACTTAGGACACGTAAAATAGAGTGTCTTATTATAGGAGAATTTCTTCACGAGAATTAAAAATGTAAATGAAGCTTCAACCGAAGTAAGTTTCCAAGTGGCTTATTTGTTAGCAAGCAAGGAAAGCTGTTGACTGATGTTAATTAAATTGTTTGCAGAAGCTGAAGAACTGTGTCCAGAGAAAACAAACCTGTTTAAGACAATCAACCTTTTGGTAGGAACAGTATGTCAAAGAGTTGGGGACCTTGTTAGCAACATCAACAGCTAGTTAAAAAAGAAAAAAGAAAAAAAAAGAAAGCTAGTCCTGGCCGGTTTGGCTCAGCCGTTAGAGTGTCAGACCGCGGACCAGAGAGACCCGGGTTCGGTTTCCGCTAAGGGCACGTACTTCGGATGCAGTTTGTCCCCGGCCCCGGTTGGGGTTGTGTGGGTGGCAACCACTCGATGTGTGTCTCTCATATCGATGTTTCTCTCTCTCTCTTTCTTCCTCTCTCCCTCCTGCTCTCTCTGAAGATGAATGCAAAAATGTCCTCGAGTGAGGATTTAAAAAAAACAAACAACAAAAAAACAAGGCTAATGGTTCTGAGTATTTTTTCTTGTATCTTAATGAATTGACAGGTGCTGCCAACACTGCTCAGTCATTGTTGTTGTTTACTTTAGGTATCAATGCCAAGTTTGAAGTGACTGAAGAATTGGATTCTATAGCCTGTGTAGAACAACTATAAGTGAAAAGATTTTCAAAAAAGCTGAGAAAATTTCTAATTCAGTACAATCGGAAGTGAAAACTACTAAAATGTATTACAACTCCTGGAGGTAAAAATTTGTGTGAAGCAGAAAAGGTTTAGTAGGACAGATTTACAAAGCCTGTGAAAAAGTGAAGGGTTAAAACCTGCAGTTATTCATTGATGATTCATCAGCAGGTACTTTGCAGAAAATACAGTCACGGGCCATTTTGCAGGTGGGGATATGTTCTGAGAAATGTGTCATTAGGCGATGTTGTTGTTGTATGAACATCATAAAGTGCACTTACACAAACCTAAATGGTGTCGCCTACTACGCACCCAGACTATATAGGATAACCTATTGCTCCTAGGCTACAGCATGTTACTGTAGTGAATACTGTAGGCAATGGTGGTATGTATTTGTGTATCTAAACATGTCTAAACCTAAAAAACGGTCAGAAAAAATACAGTGTAAAAGATAATGGTGCACCTGAATAGGGCACTTACTATAAATGGAGCTTGTAGGACTGGAAGTTGCTCTGGGTGAGTGAGTGAGGGGGCCTAGCACATTATGCTACTGTAGGCTTTGTACACTTAGGCTACACTAAATTTATAAAACAACATGAAATTAAACCAAGCTCAAGAGAAAATATGCAATCAAGAGACATGGTAAATGTGATGTGTACGAGGCTGCCGCCGACAACATGGCATACTGTTTTACAGCAAGCTTTTCTTTTAATGATTAGGAAGTGTACACTCTAAAATAACAATTGAGCCCTGGCCGGTTTGGTTCAGCGGCTAGAGCGTCAGCCTGCGGTCCTGAGAGACCCGGGTTCGGTTCCCGCTAAGGGCACGTACTTCGGTTGCAGTTTGTCCCCGGCCCTGGTTGGTTGTGCGGGTGGCAGCCACTCGGTGTGTTCCTTTCACATCGATGTTTCTCTCTCTCTCTCTGTTCCTCTCTCTCCCTCCCACTCTACCTGAACAAAAAATGGAAAAATGTCCTCGGGTGAGGATAAAAAATAATAATAATAAAATAAAATAACAATTGAAAAGTGTAGTGAATACATAAACCAGAAACATACTCATTTATTATCATTATCAAGTGTGATGTACTGTGCATAACTGTCTGTGCTATACTCTTGTACGACTAGCAGAGCAGTAGATTTTTTTTCCCACCAGCTTCACCACAAACACATAAGTAATGCATTAAGCTACAACATTATGAAAGCTACAGTGTCATAAGGCAATAGGCATTTTTCAGCTCCATTATAATCTTACGCGACCACCATTGTATGTGTGGTCCGTAATTGACCAAAAGGTCATTATGTGATGCAAGACTGTATTTGAATCTGTCATGTAATACTAAAACAATAACAAAATAAACTTTATTCACTTTGTGGATTTAAGCAGCATCGCTTGTATGAATTTTTTGTCAGCAATAGAAGCTGAATATCCTGACTTGCCCTACCAAACAGCAGTTTGATGGCTTGTGAGTCTTCTTTTAGCCCAAGGCTGAAATTGAAATTTTTCGGAACAAGAAGAGCCACCCTCATATAACATATAATAAATAATGTTATTATTTAACATTAATGACTTTGGAATTTTTTTGCTAATTTTTAGGTGTGATGTCATATTAAGAATTCTTGCCCTGGCCAGTTTGGCTCAAGGGTTAGAGCGTTGGCTGGTGGACCAGAGAGTCCCAGGTTCGGTTCCCGCTAAGGGCACGTACCTAGTTTGCAGTTGGTCCCCGGCCCTAGTTTGGGTTGTGTGGGTGGTGACCAGTCGGTGTGTCTCTCTCGCATTGATGTTTCTCTCTCTCTCTTCCCCCCTCTCTCCCTCCTGCTCTATCTGAAAATAAATGCAAAAAAAAATGTCCTCAGGTGAGGGTTAAAAAAAAAGAATTCTTATCTTTTAGAGATATCTACTGGTATTTTTACAGAGGAAAGGATATGATGTTTGGAATTTGCTTCAAAATAATCAGGGGGAGAAGAAGAAAGTAAGGAGGTGCAGATGAAATAATATTGGCCATAAAATGATAACTAAATCTTATTGATCTGTATATTACATTCAATATACTATTCTCTCTCATTTTGTATGTTTGAAATCGACCACAATAAAATGTTAGAAAAAATAAAAAATATCCATTATCATAGCTGACAAAGAAAAAAGTCAACTGATAGATAGGTTGGCCTGCAAAGATGTCTCAAGAGTCAAGAGGCGGCCCTGGCCGAGTAGCTCAGTTGGTGAGAGCATCATCCTGATACACCAAGGTTGAGGGTTCAATCCCCTGGTCAGGGCACATACAGGAATCAACCAATGGATGGGTGGAGTAACAAATCAATGTTTGTCTCGCCCTTCTCTCTCTTTCTAAAAAAATCAGTAAATAAAAGATCAAGAGGCAACCAGAGTAGTCACGGAAGTAAGTGTTCAAAGCAGCAGCCAGTCCGTCAGGCAGCTGGGGTCTGAGAGACCCTGCAAACTTGGACTCTAGAGCTAATAAGCCACATGGGAGTAAATGAGAGGGTCAGCAGATGATTTGGGGTGCGCTGTCAGTTGGCAGAAATGTAGAATCCACTGAGGAAGGAATGAACAAAGTCTCTAGAAACCCTCTACTATTGGGGGAGTGAGAAGGGAACCCATCCGTGTTGGCCACAAACCTAGCCCACTGAGAAGAGCGTGGCCAGGAGCTGCCCGGGAAGCGGATGCACAGGCATTCCAAACTTCCTGAGAAAGTAGAGAAACTAACTTCCAAGAACTTGTCCAAACTCAGAAAGGCGAGAGGAAGTGACAGAGTTTGATGGGTACAGAAATTTCCTGAGATCAAAGGAAATCAAATTCCCAAAGCCAGGGCTTCTCTTCTTTCATGAGCCAAACATTCCTTTAAGAAGTTCATTATTTTTTAATGGGAAAAATACAATTTTGCATGTGACTTTAGGGAATCCCCAAAGCCTGGGATCTGTGAACCCGTGATTCAGAACGCCTGGGTGAAAATCTTGTTTACAAAAAGTTCACAGCAGCCCTGGCCGGTTTGGCTCAGCGGTTGGAGTGTCAGCCCCCAGACCAGAGAGACCCGGGTTCGGTTCCCGCTAAGGGCATGTACCTTGGTTGCAGTTTGTCCCCGGCCCTGGTTGGGGTCATGTGGGTGGCAGCCACTCGATGTAGCCCTTTCACATCGATGTCTCTCTCTCTCTCTCTCCTTCCTACTCTATCTGAACAAAAAAATGGGAAAATATTCTTGGGTGAAGATAAGAAAGAAAGAAAGAAAGGAAGGAAGGAAGGAAGGAAGGAAGGAAGGAAGGAAGGAAGGAAGGAAGGAAGGAAGGAAGGAAGGAAGGAAGGAAGGAAGGAAGGAAGAAAGGAAGAAAGGAAGAAAGGAAGAAAGGAAGAAAGGAACATAAGCTGCTTGCTTGGCTTGAGAAAACCAGGTATTTGAAATTATGTCTCATTTAAAAGAATAGGTGAGCCAGTTTGCAGCTGTAATTTCTACTCCATCCTCTACAGTCACCGTTGTGATTTTTCAACATTCAAGACAATGTGTCAGAAAGTGTGGGGGATGAAAACTATTACTGAAACATGGACCCTAACACGTGGGCATTCATCTCTGAGTGGCGAATGGGAATGGTCCTTGCAACAACCTGGCCCTGAATTCTTTGACCTTCAACTTGAATGTCTGTCTTCAGGACATTTTTAGCTGCACACAACCTTAGCCACTCCTTTAATACTCCTCCATCATCAATATTTCAAACTCTGAAATTCTTTTAGACTACAAACTCTTATTCCTCTTTCTCATACGTACTAATTTTTTCTTTACCCTTATGAACTCCAGACCCCTTGCATGCTCATCCAAGTATGCAGCTTTGCCTTGGTGTCACTGGCCTCTTTCATAGCCTAGACGCCATGGACATGTGAAATGATCAAAGACCACCAGGTTACAGCAGAATCTCGATTTAATTGTCCACTACTTGGGCACTTAGACAGGTATGGTACTTTTTATAAGGAGAGCCTCAAGTTCAAAGGAGCAAGGCAGCAATGCAATTAAACAAAGGGTAGAGAGATCAGTCTGCTGGGATCTAGGAGATCGTGAGCCCTATATTAAGAGTAAAGCAGCCCTGGCCAGTTTGGCTCAGCGGTTAGAGCGTCGGCCTGTGGTCCAGAGAGACCCAGGTTCGGTTCCCGCTGAGGGCACGTACCTAGCTTGCAGTTTGTCCCCAGCTCTGGTTGGGTTGTGAGGGTGGCAACCACTCGGTGTGTCCCTTTCACATCGATGTTTCTCTTTCTCTCTCTCTCCCCCTCCCATTCTGTCTGAACAAAAAATGGAAAAATGTCCTTGGGTGAGGATAAAAAAGAAAAAAGAGTAAAGCAGAGCCCTGGCTTGTTTGGCTCAGAGCGTCTCCCCGCAAAACAAAGAGTCTCGGGTTCGATTCCGGCCAAGGGCATATACCTTGATTACAGTTTGTCCCCAGCCCTGGTTGAGGTCGTGCGGGAGGCAACCAATTGATGTGTCTCTCTCATCGATGTTTCTATATCTCTCTCTTTCCCTCTCCCTTCCTCTCTCTCTAAAAATCAATACAAGGGGAAAAAATTATTTAAAAAAAAAGTGAAGCAGAGAAGTGGCTAGACCTAAGCCTTGTAGGAGATAGAATACTCCCATGTTCACTGTAACCATTTCATTCCTATACACAGGTAGCCCTCGCCTGCTTTCGAACATTCCTTGCCCTGCTGCTCTGAAGCACTCCTGTTTGAGGGCTACCTACTTCATGCAGCCAGCCTCCCAGAATCCCTTGCTGTTGACTGCCTTGCTAATCCCCAGTGCTAGAAACGTCCATTCTTGTCTCTTCCCGGGGAGCCAGGTGCTCCTGCAGAAAGTTACAATCTCCACCTTGACTCAGCTTTAAATCCATAATATGTAACCTCAGTTTGCCTCTTTTCATTCTCAGTTAACTCCTTGGGGCATTGCTCACAGAAGCTCTAAGCCTTGCGCTCCCTGAAATCCCTTACGGCATTTGAGCTCCTCAACCACACTGTAACTCATATCCC